ATATATATATACATATATATATATATATATATATATATATATATATACACACACACACACACACACACACACGAAAATATTCACACCTCACGCACCGGATGCCGTGCGCGCGCGCCCAAAGACAGTTGGACATAGTGGTGTATTAGAGGTAAAAAAATTATATAAATACTGTTCGGTTTCTGGCACAAACCGATCGTGTCGTGTCTTAGGACATCAATGTGTCGTCACGAGCCGCAGGGGTTTCATTTGGATTGGTCTGTGCATGTTTTTTTTACTCTCATAGATTTTGTTACCATTGCCATGCATTATACAACTGATAGACAGTAACAGTTGGAGTTAAAAATCATCATATGTGTTCTACTGAAGAAACAAAGTCACCTATATCTTGGATGCCCTGGGGGTAAGCAGATAAACATAAAATTTTCATTTTTGGATGAACTATCCCTTTAATAACTCTTTTTAGCGTCAAGCAAGTCACGTAAGTAACAGTCGCGTGCCCAGTCTATTCTCTGCTATATGAGTCGACCTAAAACTTTGACTTTTCGCAACATTTTGAAGCAGTTTATTAAAATAATTCAGATATTGAATGCCGTTGCAATATCTGATACATTTGCGATATTTCAATAATTTTGATATATTGTGCAGCCCTACAGCAGATACTGAATTGGGACACTGTGTTTTGTTGTTGTTTTTTCTTTGACTGCACACTCTGTGACACACTCAAAATGGCCTTATGACCCACAAGTTGAGAAACACTGCTGTATATTAAAAAAACTGTGGTTTGTACAATATACGCTATGGTTATTTCTTGTGATGTCTTGACACTCACGGTGGAAGTGCTGTAGCATATATCATCGGGACATTTCATGGTGAAAAGCTGCAGGATGTCCAAGAGTTCTGCATGGATGATGGAGCTGCACTTGACCAACTCATCTACAGTCATCAGATACATCCAAGATCTGGCCAGCAGTTTGTCCACCTCCACCAAATGTCCATGTGTTTCCATGAGATTCAACATCGCCCTAAAAGAGAGGGATTCAACAGTGACAAGCCAAAAATGGATCATAATACACTGAAACCTATGCGGGATCAAATGTTCAAATAGCAACTTGATTTGAACTGAAGATTGAAATTTAAAATCAAGAAAAAAAAACATTTGGAAAACAACATTTGAGAAAACCAAGATGAAATACCTTCTATCTTGGCTTCCGGGGGAAGTTATATTAGCTGATTTGAGTCCCTGCAGTCCAGCCCAGTTCTGCTCAAATTGTAGGTTGACCTTAATAAACACTGGCTCAAATGGTTTTGAGGTGCCTTTGAAAAGATGCAGTAGTGGAATTACGATGATCCATCTAATCATGTTGGCAGCTCTCACTCTGAGGATCAGTGCCTCCACCATCTCAGACAAGCTGAAAATGGAATCAAAGTTGAAGACATTTTAGACACTGTGAAGTGTATATTTGTTAAAGCACATATTCCTTAGTTAAAATGTTATACACGGTATATATATGGATCACGGAACGAACCAAAAGAAGGGGGGCCGGGGGGCTCTATCTGGATGAGCGGCTGCGCGAAAGCAGGTTTAAATATTCCGATGTGAATTCAAAGGTTTAATAGACATAGCGGAATCACGTCATTTAGGAATAAGATTGCATGTGTTTTAATCGAGATTGCGATCTTTAAATGATTAAACGTGCATACATATGAGCCCTATAGCATATGTTTTTTTTTTTTTTTTTGTAGCCCATGTCATATTTGTACCAGACCTTAAAAGTAACACGGGCCGGGCCCGCTTCCACGACCCATATATATATATATATATATATATATATATATCTGATATAATATATATCTGATATATATATATATATGTAGCACCGTGGACGAAGCGGAGTGTTTTATTGTTTTTGTCTTTTCGCGCCGGGACACAGTGCATTACAGTATGTTAAGGGGCATAACATTTCCGTCACACGCTTGAGGTATTCTGCCAATCACAATGCACTGGATAGCTGGCCAATCAGCGTACACCTCGCTTTTCAGAACGATGAGCTTTGTAAAAGTCTATGCGTTTCAGAAAGTCGGGGCATAGCGGAGCAACAATAATAATACAATATGTGGAAAATAATGTGTTTTTTCAACCTTAAACCGCATAAACACATTGCATTACACCAAATACACAACAATGTTCTTTTTAGCAACGTCATATAACCCCTTAAAATTCCTCACTAATTACTTACCTGTAATTTGTGTTGCCAAGTGTTTCATCTATATAATAATAATAATAATAATAATAATAATAATAATAATAATAATAATATGCTAATTAGTGTTGTCACCTACGTTATGGCAGTAGTATGCTCTGTTCTTCGTGTCAATAGCTCTTTCTGTCTGGATTGAAGAAATTATCAACATCTTCAATTCAAAAATCAGATCAGAAAAATCAGTCTCTTGCCCCCTCAAGGCATTTCAGAAGATGCTAGGTCTTATGACCTCCGCGTCTCCAGTACTGCAGCTGGGCCTGCTCCGAATGCGGCACCTTCAGTACTGGCTGAAACTGCTAGTTCCGTCCCACGCCTGGCGTCGTGGACGCCTTCATATCAAGGTGAACCAGGCCTATGTGGCAGCTCTGGCCCCTTGGAAAGACTCTTATTGGATAGAACAGGGTGTGACCCTGGGAGTGGTCTGCAGAAGGAAGGGAGTTCTCTTTGGCAAGGCAGAGGTCAACCTCTTTGCCTCAAAAGACAACTCTCATTGCCCAACTTATTTTTCGAAGAACACGGACGCGTTGGCCCACAACTGGCCCAACCTCCTCCTTTATGGTTTCCCCCCGATCGCCCTGATCCCACAGGTAATCAGGCGAATCAGGGAACAAGGGCACAGGGTTCTGTTGGTAGCCCCGCTCTGAAGGAACCACACTGGTTCGCAGAGCTATCCCAGCTGCTTGTAGCAGCTCCATGGCCCATTCCCCTGAGGCCTCCTCTCTCAGGCGAACAGAACGATTCGGCACCCCCAGCCTGAGCTGTGGGCCCTGCATGTCTGGCCTCTCGATGGGAACCTGAGGATTTCCCAGAATGTGTTTAAAATACAATATCTCAGGCTAGAGCACCATCCAGGTAGAAGATCCAGCTTAATGCGACATATCTCTGATATTGTCCTTCCTGCAAGAGCTGTTGGACAAGGGCCATTCCCCTTCCACACTCAAGGTCTATGTAGCAGCTATAGCAGCATATCACGCTCCTATAGCAGGCCAATCGGTGGGCAGGAACAACCTGGTTGTTCGCTTCTTGAAGGGGTCTAGGAGGCTTATCCCGCCTCGCCCCGCCACAGTCCCTACATGGGATTTGTCCATGATGCTGAGGGCTCTAAGGAGCCTCCCTTTGTGCCAGCTACAATCCATTGACCTTTGTCCCCTGCCGCTAAAAACCGTTCTGCAACTGGCGTTAGCATCGGTAAAGCGGATGGAAGTTCTACAGGCGCTCTCTGTGAGCCCCTCTTGCCTGGAATTCGGGAACATTGATTCTAAGGTTGTCCTGAAACAAAGGCTCGGGTACATACCTTTGGTGCTCTCCACTCAGTTCAGAGCACAGGTGAGCATGTCGCGCTGTGTGAAGTACAGACTGAACTGATTGTCAACATCCCATCGCTGTATGGCCAGATGAGACACAAACTAAATTTTCTCGACTGGATAACCAGTCTTGCTAGTAAAGTTTTGATGGATGAAGACTGCAATCAAGGTACAGACGATTGCGTTGGAGTACAAGAGTCGTACAGCAAGCACATGTGAGTCCATTATAATAATGCGTGTATAAGTGCTCTTGACGCACTGATCGCACATCGTATTTATGCACAGGCACAAACATTTCTGTACATTCACGTTATTTCCACACACATTCACGATAATGTTTTGATTTGTCTTGTGTATGTTGCTGTGTTTAGTTATTCTGAATGGATCCGTGTACTGTAGTATATATATGCAGTCAGCAGGCAGTTGGTTTAGTTTTTTTTTTGGCATCTCCATGTGGTCCTGCTCGGTATTGCAACTTGACTTCTCTAAAATGTAAAAAAGCTCTTTGCTGTTGCACTGTACATATACTATACAATTCTGATCTTTTTTTTAGCATGTTGTTCCTTTCATATGTGCTTATATGGGCTCCTTATATCATTTTGTTATTTGGTGTCCTTTTGGAGTTTCTAAGTGTCCTTTTTTGAAAAGACATCTAAATTTCCCTCTAAAAAATCTTGCAGAAAATACAGATTTTTGAGAATCAACCTTCAATATTTTGATTTACTTTGCAGGATATAGCAAATGATGACAAAATAAACATTTGAAACAAGATAAATGATCTATGCTTAATTTCATGACGTCTGCGATTAATCATGATTAATCACAGAAAAAAGAGTGTGATTAAAAATGTTAATCTATTGACAGCCCTACTTTACATGCTTTGGTGGCCGCACCAGAGGGTTTCGTCACTAAGCAGAGACTCTCCAAATGGCTAGTTGACACTATTGCACTAGCTTACTCCTCTTTGGGCCTACACTGCCCCATGGGAGTAAGAGCCCATTCGACTAGAGGCATGGCCTCATCTTGGGCTTGGTCTAGCAGTGTGTCCATTGCAGAAATCTGTGCGGCAGCCGGCTGGACCTCGCTGTCCACATTTGCCAGGATCTATAATCTGGACGTCCCGACCTTACAAGCCCATGTATAAGTGAAATAACTGTACTCACTTTTTTATCACTGAGAATGATTCCATTATGTCAGCCCAGAAAGACAGGAACTCATCCTTAGGTAATTTCGGCAGGCAAAGGGCAGTGCAGAGACGAGAAAGAATCCCGTTGTCTAATTCTAGATGATACTGTTTCCACACATAGAGCATAATAAGAGCAGCCTTCAGTGGCTCCTTGATGAAAGTACTCCTTTCTTTGCTGTCTTTCTGTAACTCTGGAGTCACCTGCTGAAGCATGAACTGCTTCAGAAGCTTGCTCACCTGACAAATGAAAATGAGACTATATATTAAATTTCAAGTTGACATTTACATTTGAGTGCATCTTAAAGGCATAGTTCACCAAAAAGTGAAAGCTTTGTTATAAGTGATTTATTCCAAACTCATACTGTATGACCTCCTTTCTTCAGTGTAACACAAAAAGACTAATATTGATGAAGTACATAATATTTTACACAGGGTTTCTGCAGTTTTTAAAAATTAGACCTTTTTTAAGACCTGCACTAAATAAATCAATTAATCAATCAAATCAATAAATCCTTTATGTTTATACAGAACAAACCCATACAATTTCAAAATAAATAATGTATCCCAGATACTTTTACTTAATTAAATAGGCTGGGGCACACATTTAACTGCCAAACAGGGCAACCTCTAATTTAAAATACTCAAGACAGATTTATTCAATATATACACATACACTGAAATTTCTTTATTCCAACAATTCTAGTGTCAACTATATATTGAATGTTTTAAATAATGTTCTTAGTCTTTCCTTCCTGAGCCGGGATGGCCTAGAGAAAAGCCTCAAAAGTTTACATTTAATTAGTTTCCAGATACAGTTTATTGTGTAACCAAAATAGCAACAATATCCAAAAAAAAAAAAGAAAAAAGAAAAAGAAAAGCAGAATGTGGGACTTTTAATTATAAACAACCCCAAAATATATCAGAACTCTTATTTTGAACCATCTATGCTTTACTACTTCCAGCTGCTCATTCAAAATATGAGTGAGAGAAATCTACAACATATTACAATATAAAATCCATAAAGTAAACATTAACATATCAGTAGATCATAAGCAATCATTTGTCATTAATGTATTCAATGATTGCAAACTGCTCTGAAACAACAAGCCTGTAGAACAACAAGAAGTGCTGTGTTTTTACTTTGAAAATGTGCAGCACTCACATTTGTTTAAAGCTGCAGTCTGTAACTTTTTTGTGTTCAAAATTAACAAAATTTATATAATAAGCGAGTACACCATGAATCCATTTTCCAAAGCGTGTTTTTGGCTTGTCCTGAATCACTACGCTACACCTATAATAAGTGTTTATATTCTGACTATTTAGACTGGTTCGGGTAGGTACCGCTGCGGAGTAGCTCAGTACCTGCGTGATTCGCCATAGACATAAACAGAGAGAAGTAGCTCCGGCTACAATGTTCTTCCACAAGACGCACGCAGTTCTGTTTATTAACCGCTAGAGCGCCAAAAGTTATGGACTGCAGCTTTAAATTCACTTATAACCTTTTGAAGTTTAATAATCACACTAGGCCATATCGTAATTTCTGTTATTTAGTCCCCGAATTTAGGACCCTTTAAAATGATAATTAAGAGTTTTAAAGGACCCGCAGAAACCTCTTTATGCATTTTTGTCTTTTCTGAAGCTTGAAAACCCCAGTCCCCATTATGGAAAACAGCATTCTGCATATTCTGCAGTATTGCTTCATTTGTGCTCCATGGAAGACAGTCATACAGTTTTGGAATGATGTGCATACAGCAATAATGACGATTTTCATTCTTGGGTGAACAAATGTTATCATGTATGAATGTGTTCAGTATATGCTGAGATGCAAATGGTTTACTCACATCTTTTTCATCGTAATTGAGTGAGTACCACTTCATTTCTGTCTTTTCAAATACAAAAGGGTTTCCATAAACTTCATAAAACTGTCGCAGCTGACTAAAGAAGCTGTAGAGGTTAATTTTGCCCCAGTTTCTCAGGAGGTCAAAAATTGTTTCCAGCATGACTATACCAGCGATTTCTCTCCCCTGAATTACATCTTTCCTCTGATCAGGCCAAAAAGCATCTTTGAGCCGTTTCAACATATTCTTAGAAGGTTCTACACAGATGATATCGTCATACTGATGCCATTCTCCTGCAATATACCAAAAGAACAAATTAAGTCTGTTAACACACATGCATACAGCGTCTTCATAACATGGCGGCGGTGGCAGCAATAATAAAGTTACACCTTCTTTCTTTGCATGAGCATTTGGGCGAAGTTATGCAAATCTTCCCACATCGTGACGTAGACATGTGGGGGCGTGTTTAAACGAGGCGTTTTAGGAGGGTCCGCACCAGTCTTAAAGGAACACTCCTCTATTTTGGAAAATAGGCTCATTTTCCAACTCCCCTAGAGTTAAACAGTTGAGTTTTACCATTTTCGAATCCATTCAGCCGATCGCCGGGTCTGGCGGTAGCACTTTTAGCTGTAGCTTAGCATAGATCATTGAATCTGATTAGACCGTTAAGCATCTCACTCAAAAATGATCAAAGAGTATCTATATTTTTCCTTTTTAAAACTTGACACTTCTGAAGTTACATCGTGTACTAAGACTGACGGAAAATGAAAAGTTGCGATTTTCTAGGACGATATGGCTAGGAACTATACTCTCATTCCGGCGTAATAATCAAGGAACTTTGTTGCCGTACCATGGATGCAGCGGGCGCAATGATATTACGCAGCGCCTGAAAATAGGCTAACTTCCATCAACATAACCAACGTGACCACCTGCTTGCACAGAGAGCACGCAGGGGACTATTTTCAGGACTATTAATTTTTATTACTGAATCATTCATTCAATTGATTCATTCGAACAGCTTATTCATTCAGGAATGAATCAAGTGACTGTCTTTATGAATGCGTAATCATGAATCACTGACTCACTAGATTTGTTTTAAAAAAACCCCGTTCATTCATAAACGAAACACTGCTGTGTTCGAATGGAGATGCGCAGCGGCTCTGCTGTGTCTTTGTTTTAAACTATTTTCGACGACGAGCAAAATCAGACAATAGTGTTATAGTCAGACAATGTAAGTCACTTAATATTAATTTCTTGTTTATTGAATTGTATTGTATTAAATCAGTATCACATTTACAAACTCCCTTAAAAATCAGTAAAAGCTGTCACTCATCTTAGTTCATTGCGATCTCACATTTATAATCAACGAAGCTCTACACTGTCTCTTATTCAATCAATCTCTTATTTACTCCGTCTACACTTTGCTTATGAAAGGATTCGTGAGATATGTCTGTGATCCATTACTCAACGCTGCAAAAACACGTAGAAACCTTTGAAGCTTCCCTGAGCGCAATCACAAGTATGATGATGATCGGGTCAGTCGCACTGGTGCTCCTAAAATAAATAAGTCACACGCAGTAGTTTTCAGTCGCAAATGCAACTGAAATGGTTGCACTGTCGAGCCCTGGGTATCTCTGTGCATTCAAAATGCCATCAATAAAATGCACCTGTGTTCGTTGTCCATAACATACGCCTGCCCATACCATAACCCCACCGCCACCATGGGCCACTCGATCCACAATGTTGACATCAGCAAACCGCTCACCCACACGACACCATACACACTGTCTGCCATCTGCCCTGTACAGTGAAAACCGGGATTCATCCGTGAAGAGAACACCTCTCCAAAGTGCCAGACGCCATCGAATGTGAGCATATGCCCACTCAAGTCGGTTATGACGACGAACTGCAGTCATATATATATATATATTAGGGCTGGTAAGCGATTAAATTTTTTTATCTAATTAATTACATGATGTGGCAATTAATTAATCTAATTAATTGCAAATTAATTGCACATCAAATTTGGCTGAGAAATTACTCCCAAAAGATAATTGAAAGTCATTGTTGTGTAAAGCATCAAACAGACATTACAAAAAGTTGCTTCAGCAATAAATATTTTGTTTGATAAAATGTATTACATATACTCTTTTAATTATTATTACTATGGAAACATGAAATTATTTATTTAATGAAATTATACTCTAAATAATAAACAAACTGCCAGTAGGTGGTGGTAAACGTCTTAATGATTAAGTCATCGAGTCATTTATTCATTCATTTGATTCGTTCAAAGGGCTGATTCATTCAGGAGTGAAGTAAATGGTTCTTTATGAATGGTCCATTGAATCATTAGGCTTGTTCAACTTGAAGCGGATCACCATCAGACCGATCGGTGTGCGACATCAAAGTATCGCATGAGCTATAGAGAGCAGACGGCTCCTTATGCTTTTGATTCGCTCTCGCGGTACTTTGATGTCATAAACCGATCGGTCTGTGCAGCGCCACTTCAAATCCAACGCGCCTATGGCCAATGGTTCAACTCATGTGATATTGCACTTAGCCTATTGCTCGTGTGAAATTGCTTAACTATATACAGGGGCAGCTCTACGTGGTGGCCAGGGCCCCTCCCCCCCTACCAGTTATCTTTAGTATTAGTATTTATAACTGCATCTGGCAGGGGCGGATCCTGGCATGTGTAGGCACCTGCCTATGGACGCTTTCTTCTCTTCTTTATACTTGATTTTAGCCAGTTTCTATAGCGTGATCTTAATGACAAATGTCGAGAGCATAATGTTATGCGATTCATGTAATGCGCGAGCCCGAATCTCCACTCGCAAGAGGATTTCCTTCACTCACACAAAACTGGACATGCGCTTTTAAATATACATTGTTCTTTTATGAAATGGCTCTGCTCTTGCTCAGATATTACGTGTATGCTCAAACGTTGTCCTCGCATCACTGAAGACCAGAGGAGCTTTTTTTTTCTAATTCAGATGAATAGTAGGCTTTTCTCACTAAATGGAAGCAAGCTGATTAAAGTCAGCCTTCTCAAGTTATGTATTATCATTTAATACTTATTTTAGTTAAGTGCTTAAATTGTAAATATGCATTTATTAAATTATTTTATTTAGTGCATTTGTATTTTGTTGTTTTTGTATATAGTTATGCAAAAAAAGAGCAGGGCCGCTGCTGGCCAAATGGGTGCCCCAAGCAGAATTGTCTTGTTGTGCCCCCTCCCCAAAATATTATGGAAGTTAAAAAAACACCTACTATAGGGGTCAAAATAGAACTTTAATAAAATATAAAAGTAAATAAGTAAATTGTAATTAAATTGTATTATTTAAAAATTACAATTGTAGCTAGACAGTCACCTAGATATGATTTTAATAATACAGTTGTCTGATTGACTTTATGGTCTCAAGCATTCAGAAATCACGCAAAAGAAAATTAAGCAGTTTTACTTTGATAAAACCAAGGATTAGTTTTTGTAAGGGTTGTCCACATATTTTTGTTGAAGAAATTATAGAGGCTAGCATTTCTATCGCAAAAAGGTGGCCAAAAATTAAAGATTAAGTGAATATTTGAATTAAATGTTTGGATCATCATGTAAGTGTTACAACAGCAATTACCAGGCCTTTGGTAATTGTAATAATATGTAATGTACATAAATTGTTTATTTTGTATTACATTATGTATTTTAACAGTGTTATTCAATGAAACCATACGATTATTATTAATTAACCAATAATTATTGCCTCATTGTTTTTATATAATGCATTTTATGTAATTTTAAAGGTTGTTGTTCGCTTAGGTCTGGTTTTATTACCACTATTATATACGTATATTAAAAATATTATCTGAATACTTCGTAAATTATTATTTGAAGCGATTTGAAGTATTAAACCCATGGTTAATTTGTGGTTACCATTGCTACAAGAACCATGCAGTAAAATTATGGTTAATTTTCGTAAGGGAACATGGAAACTCATGGAATATGGAATATTAAAAGGCAGATGCGGCGGTGATATTATTACCGACATTAAAACACGTTATTAACATCAACATCCAAAAAAGTTTAACAGGATTATGAATGTACCTAAAAGTGATGCACGGGCTTCATCTTGGGCTTTTATTCTTTTTCTTATCTCGGTGCCGGAATACTGATGTCTTTTCCCGGGCATAGTTGTCCATCAGTTATGATCATTTCCAGTCAGCCGCAAACATGAGGTGAGAGCTGGCGCGGCGCGTATGCGGGAATTGCGCGTCACTTGTGCTTCGCCCGTCTAATGCGTTCACCATAAAACTCTTTAAAAAAAAATTTAAATTATGTATATATGTTCATGTTTATACTTTTATTTACGTATATGTATATGTTAATATTAATATAGAACGAAGGTTTTTTTTTGAGCAACTGGGATGGTGCCCCCCTGGGAGTTGGTGCCCTATGCAAACTCTGCATATAGGGAGCGGCGTTACTGTAGAAGAGTATCAACCAGAAGGTTCCAGAAATAATCACTGAGGGTGCTTCTGAAATGAGTGAGGGTGCTCTAGTCTTAATGCACATTTTCACATATTTTGTCCCGTCTATTGCTATGGTTATCACTATGTCAATCACTGCTACTTCGAAAGGCAATCCCGCATAAATATGCGGATGTCATTCCCGAAACTTTGCAAAGTGTGTGGGGCCAAAAAAAAGTTCTACATTTTAAATGGATTATAAGACTAGAAAACTCGCAAAGAGCGCTCTTTATAACCACTAAAAAGCTGTCACACTTTGTTCATCGCGATCTCACAAAGTTCTGTTATGACCAAAGAATCTCACACTGCACAATTAATAAATTATTAACAGCGTGTATTCACTGTATGCAGGCGCGGATTAAATGGGTCATATGATGTTGCTAAAAAGAACATTATTTTGCGTATTTGGTGTAATGAAATGTTTATGCGATTTAAGGTTCAAAAAACACATTATTGTGTTTCTCCTCTATGCCCCGCCTTTCTGAAACGCTTCGATTTTTACAAAGCTCATCGGTCTGAAAAGTGAGTTGTGCTCTGATTGGCCAGCTATCCAGTGTGTTGTGATTGGCCGAATACCTCAAGCGTGTGACGGAAATGTTACGTTCCTTACCATATTGTGATGCCCTGTCCGGCCGGAGCGACGAGACAAAAACATTAAAACCCATTACAAACGAGGCATTTGTTGCATCCAGAGGGGACATAATTACGGATTATAATGACTTATACTGTCTTTTTACGCGTTGCATTGCATCACGCCGCGTAAACATAAAAC